ATTTTTTTTTTTAAAATATTATTACTTATAGCTACCTTTTCTATTTTATAACAAAATATGTATTTATATAACCTACCATTGAAGCATGAAATACGCCAATGTTCTTTCTCTCCTCTCTCTCTCTCTCTCTCTCTCTCTCTCTCTCTCTCTCTCTCTCCCTCTCTCTCAGCAAGATTCTCAATCTTCTCTGTTCTCCATCAAATCAACAGAATTGTCGGTGTCATCGTCCTGGTCGTCGTTAGAATCCTTGTCAGCGTCATCATCCATTATTGGCTCATCCTCTTAGGCGAACAGATCTGGTCATGACTACGCCGGAGAAGATTTGAGGGCCAGATTTTTTTCGTCTCCATTTTTAGTTTTAATACAATGTACACAGTATTTTGCTTGGCCGGAAAACGCCATCTCCGACGAACTTTCTTCTCTTCTTTGCTATTTTTGTCACATACAATGATACAAATACATTATATTATGTACAAATACACTAAAAACATTATATTTTTATATAAATATATTACTTTTTCGCCTTTATGTATTCCGAAGATCTGTATTTTTTGAATACAACCGAATATCACTGTGTTTTGTGATTTTTGGTTGTTTGAATACAGTCGAATTGAATACGGTGAATTGAATACAATGTATAATAGTGAATAATAAACATCTGTGAATTGAATACAATGTATACAGTCGAATTGATTAGAATGGTATACACCCTATTTCTTGATTACCTCACTGTATTTATAAATACGGTCGCACGAATATATGGAATACAACACAGTAGTAGCGAAAATTATGTAGAATTGGTTTTGTTGAGTTAAATTAGGAGTGACACACGCTAATTGATCCTCTTTTCGTTATTAAACAGCTTAATTCACCTATTTTTTAGGCGAATTCCACTATTGTATTCATGAATACATTAGCGCGAATACAGTCGCACAGCTGGACTCCCCTATTTTTAGGCGGCATTCCGCTACTGTATTCATGAATACAATAGCGCGAATACAGTCGTGCAACAGCGAAGTTTATGTAGAATTGATTTTGTTGAGTTAAATCAGGGTGATACACGTTAATTAATTCTCTTTCCGTTATTAAACAGCTGGATTTCTTTATTTTTAGGCGAATTCCGCATTGTATTCATGAATACAGTAGGGAGATATAGCAAATACAGTCGCACAGCTGGATTCCCCTATTTTTTAGGCGAATTTCGCTATTGTACTATTGTATTCATGAATACAGTAGCGCGAATACAGTCGCATAACAACTAACTAGTAGTTATAGGAAGTAATTATGTATATGTTAGCTATATAAAGTTAATAACCACTAAACAATAGTGATTTCTGAAAATTCCTCTAATAAAAACACGTGATGATATCGGCTGCTATAACCAGGCAAAATAGTACTTCAAATTGAAAGTAATCTTAGACTTCACCAGTCATCAATTATTTATATGCTTATTGAGGGTTACACTGCAACTAATTGAACATGTAGCTTTTCAGGATCAAAGTACTCCATTGAGAACCAAATAATCCAGTTCTGGACAAAATTTACAAGTCTTGTAAAGGTTGGTAATTTGCAGGTTAATGCTAGTCAATACTTAACAGATTCATGCATATATCCATGTGTTTGATTCAATACTGACAAAATTCCATGCTTCCCCCCGTACATCACGTGTTAAAATTGTATAGGCACACCTGTCACCTGGGGTTGGGTAGAGAGGGAGGATAAATTAAAGACCAAATGTCACAAGTAAACTGAATGGAAGATGCGTCGAAACTCTTGAATTTTGGTTCCTTTTCTCCTAGCAACAGAGCCATAGAAGCTCCAAATTTGCACACGGCCGTGAACTTTCCAAGTAGCCAACGATGGGACCGCGCGCACAGTCAAAATCCATACCAAATAAAACATGTGCGAAGAAACCCAATGGCCACCAAACCCCAGAAGTAGCCAAACCTATAGATCGCTGGAAGTGCTACGCAGAGTGGTGTATAGGTCTAAATTTGATAACCACGATAGCGGATAAGCAAAACATAGAACGGGGTTGACTACGACACAAAGATTGACGGCCGTCCAAATGAAGGCAGACGACTAGTAGTGGGCAGCTGATATAGGATAGTAACGGTAACTTAAACTCAGAAATAGACAGGAAGAATATTCCTTTAGATATTCTTTACGTTGTACTTTTTGGGGGTTTTTGGGGGAATGTCCCTTATAAATAGGAGGAGATGGGGAACAAATGGGGATCTGCCCTTTTTGAGAACTGAGATATATTGTAAAGTTGAGAGAAGAATATACGAAAGAGTTGTCTTATTCTCTTTATTCAAGCACATGTTGTTCAATCTTTATCCACAAATCTCAAGATCCCATAACCCATATTGATTACTTACCTTTCCACGTCGTCAGAGAAAGGAAACACCCAATCGCACAATCATTGGGTGACGATTCCTTTACACTATAACCCTTATCATTCTCCCATACATTGTACATTTGTGATATTATATGTCTTGCCAATCAAATCATATTAAATCCGCTATTTAATGTTCCTAACCCCAATTCGTTATACATGAACTTTGTTTTGTTTGGTCTAGGATTTATTAAGTTCCACTGAGATTCACCTTATTAATTTATTCTTGATTGGTTTAGTAATTATTTGCTAAAACAATTGGCGCCGTCCGTGGGGAGCTTTTTAGTTGAAACTATAGTTCTTTCTAGATCATAAAAAAAAAAAAGACATCTCTTCCTCGTTTGTACAAACTAATAATGGTAGGAAAAGAAGACGCGAGCTTGAAAATGATAGTAGGTGTCACTACCAACATCTTGAACACCATCAACGAAGATGGCAGGGAAGACAACGAGAACGCGATACTAAATGCTACACCCGGGCGGAGCGTCTCACCTCCCCCTCGCGAAAGCGTAACAGCTTCACGCGAAAGAGGAGGCTCCACGTCAATAACTGAGGAAGCACCACTGACAGTGAAAAAATTACCGGAAGAGTGGCTGACAAGTACTCTAAACAACATACTCGACAAACTCGTCCAAAGGGAGAACAGAAACACCGCACAAGTAGATATCACAACAACAACTGGCGAACACCCCGTCCCCCAAACAGGTAACACTTACACCATTGCTGGTGCTGGTAATGACGCACTCGCAGCTATTCTAAAGAAAATGGAAGATATGAAAAACGAAAACAAGGCACTCCATGACCAGATGAAGGAGCATCAAGAAAGGGTCGATAGATGCCAGGTACCCTAAAGTTGCTACCAAAACGAGACGTTGGTCGATTCGTCGAACAACCGTACAGCGAGGAAGCAGCTCCCCAAGCCATTCACAAAACCTTCAAAATGCCACCGTACCTAAAAATATACCATGTCACTACAGACCTAGAATATCATATCGTCCTGCGCCACAACGGTGAAGGGCAACGATCTTTCGAAGGAGAAAGTTCCATCGGTGCTACTGAAAAAGTTCGGAGAAACCCTAACAGGGGGAGCCCTAACCCGGTACTCACAACTGCCGGCACGGTCAATAGCAACGTTCGAGGAAATGGCCGACAAGTTTGTCACCGCTCATACAGGGGCTAAAAAGGTGGAAGCCAGGGTAAACGACATATTCGCTGTTAGGCAATCGCCCGGCGAGGGACTCAGGGACTTCCTCGCCCGTTTTAACAGGGTGAGAATGAGCCTACCAAATGTATCAGAAGGGATGGCGGTAGCAGCCTTCCAAAACGGGTTGAGCAGGAACGGGTCGAGAGCAACCAGAAAACTATTAAGCAGGCTCATGAAATACCCCCCACCACTTGGGAAGAAATCCACAATGCCTATTGCGCCGAGGTGAGAGCCGACGAGGACGATCTCAACGGTCCAACCCAACGGCAGACGTCAGTTCAAGCAGAATCGAGGAAAGTTCATCGTAACGACGGTCGAAGGGATCAGTCGGGTCCCCGTCTCGGCCGAGAAATACATCAGCCCTATATCCGAATAGCCGTCCCACCACCTCCTCGGCACACGGAAGGGCCTCCCAGGCCGCAAACTGGGACTCAGCGAAACGAAAGAGGTATGCCTCCGCTCTTATCTGCTCACAATTTTTGTGTCTCCCCTTCAGAAATAGTGTATGCACTAGAGAAGCTCGGCACGAAGGTGAAATGTCCACAAAAGATGAAGTCCGACCCGAATACTCGGAAGTCGGACGCCCTCTGTGAATTTCACCAGGAGTGGGGTCACAAAACCGAGGACTGCATAGGTCTACGCAAGAGGTAGTAAGAATGTTGAACCAAGGGCACCTGAGAGAATTAATGAGCGACCGGGGACGAGCCAACTTTGGTCGCGGACTTGAACAGCACCAGGGGCCTCCAAATCCACCCTCCCCTACTCGTACTGTCCAAATGGCCGTCAGCGGAGGCGACGAGGTAGCGATGAACCATGTGAAATCACCACTACACACAAACTCAAGCGGTGGATCACCCACAAACGATATGATGACCTCAAAGACAGTATCATCTTCGATAAGTTAGATACCGACGGTTTGACTTTCCCTCATTTCAATGCTCTTGTTATTACTTTACGTATTTCAGATACTGATGTAAAAAGAATAATGGTAGACGACGAAGCGGTGCGTGTATTATCCATCCTCGAGTCCTCGTACAGATGCGACTCGAGGACAAGACAATACCGCGTTGCATAATACTAACGGGTTTTAATAATGCAGTTGAGCGAACTTCTGGAGATATAACGCTCCCCGTTTTGGCCGGAGGAGTCACCCTATAAACAACGTTTCATATCATGGACCAAGATACAGCCTACAACGCCATCATAGGACGGCCATGTATGCACGCCATGAGGGCCATCCCGTCAAGCCTATATTAATTAATCAAGTTTCCTACTCCATGGGGAATATTTAGCATCCGAGGCGAACATCGCACTGCTCAAGAATGCTATCGTATCGCCCAAGATTGCACGCACACCCAACAACTAAGGGGAACAAATGCGGAGGCATAGCAATTAGCGATGTCGGGAACCAAATCCGACGCACAAACAGATGTTATCAAGGATCCCGACATCGTGGAAGCCGTTGAGTCGACAATAGAAGATTTCGATCTCGTCCAACTAAACAACAGCGACAGAACAAAAAAGGCTTACATCGGGCACAATCTCTCAGAACCAGGTAAATTTCATAAGTTCTTAATTTACAATGATGAATTGTTTGCCTTCTCCCACTCAGATATGCCGGGCATACCGAAAGACATCGCTACACACAAGTTGAATGTCGACCCGCTCTATCCACCAGTACGGCAAATAAGAAGGAAATTCAATACCGCAATCAACGAGGCCGTAAGTGACGAAGTGGATAAGCTCCTCGCCAACGGTTCCATCCGAGAATCAAAATACCCCCAATGGGTCGCCAACGTGGTCATGGTAAAAAAGAAAAACGGGAAATGGCGGATGTGCGTAGACTTCACGGACCTAAACAAGGCATGCCCAAAAGACTCATTTCCATTGTCGCATATCGACCAGCTCATCGACGCAACAACAGGACACGAGTTGCTAAGCTTCTTGGACGCCTACTCGGGTTACAACCAAATCCTCATGGAGGAGGAGGATCAAGAGAAAACTAATTTCATCACCAATCAGGGAACGTAGTGCTACAGAGCCATGCCGTTCGGGTTGAAGAACGCCGGGGCAACGTACCAAAGGTTCGTTACCAAGATGTTCAAAGATCAACTCGGGAAAATAATAGAATTTTACATCGACGACATGTTGGTCAAATCAAAAAGGAAAGAAGACCACGTCGACCATTACAAAGGCCTTCAACATACTAAGACAGTACGGCATGAAACAGAATCCAGGAAAATGCGCCTTCGGCGTAACCTCGGGAAAATTTCTCGGTTTCTTGGTATCACAAAGAGGCATCAAAGTCAACCCAGACTAGATCAAGGCCATCGAAGGAATACCTGAAGTATTAACCAGCAAAAAGCAGGTGCAAAAGCTGACTGGCCGGATAGACGCCTTGTCGAGATTCATCTCACGGTCATCCGATAGATGCCACAAGTTTTTCAATGAGCTAATAAAAGACAACGGGCTCCAGTGCAATTCAGAATTTATCGAGGCCCTCAGAGAGCTAAAGACATACTTGTCCTCGCCCCCACTACTCGCTAAAGCAGAACCAGGCGAGCGCCTCCTAGTATACCTGCCCGTTTCAGAAGTCGCGGTAAGCGCAGTACTGGTCCGCGAAAATAAAGGTACGGAATCTCCGATCTATTATGTCAGCAAAGCCTTGGTCGACGCCGAAACGAGGTATCCCCACCTCGAGAAGCTAGCTCTGGCATTGGTCATAGCTTCACGAAAGCTTAGACCATATATTCAATGCCACCCCATATCAGTAGTGACGACTTTCCCCCTTCGAAGCATCCTGCATAAACCCGAATTGTCGGGAAGATTGGCTAAGTGGGCCATAGAATTGAGCGAGCACGATATAACATATCAGCCGCGAACAGCGATATAATCGCAGGTACTCGCCGACTTCATCGCCGACTTCAGTATCAAAATATTGTCTGAGGTCGAGCAGGAAACATTTTGTACCTCTCCTGGTCAAACCGACCTCTGGGTCCTTTACACCGACGGTGCATCTAATGCGGCGGGGTCTGGACTGGGACTCGTACTTGAAGTCCCAACAGGCGAAGTTATTCGCCAATCCATACGGTGACCCAAAATGACTAACAATGAGGCTGTGATTGCAGGATTAAAGCTAGCCCTCAAATACGGAGCACGACGAGTCATCCTCAGATGCGACTCACAACTCGTCGTCAACCAAGTTACAGGGACTTTCAAATGAAGGAGCAGAGGCTACAGAAATATCAAGCATAAATTCATAAATTACTGCCAGAATTCGAAGAATGTCAATTCGACCAGATACCTCGGGCGCAAAACATCGAAGCAGATGGCCTTGCCAAACTGGAAGCAGCAACCAGGAATATCACCAAGGAGAATGTGGTCACCCTCCTTCACTCATCAATAGACCAACTTGAGGTACATTCCATAAATTTGACTTGGGACTGGCGCAACCGCATCATAACATATTTGCAAGAGGGAGTACTCCCTCAAGATAAAAAAAAGCCAAAAAGCTTCGGATGCAAGCGGCCAGGTACAACATCTTAAATCACGACCTATATAAGAGAACGTTCGGAGGCCCCTTGGCTAAATGCCTAGGGCCGAATCAGAAGAGGCGCGTGCTCGAAGAAGTATACGAAGGCCATTGCGGTGCTCATACAGGCAGCAGAGCCCTAATCAGAGGCCTTATTCGGGGAGGATACTACTGGCCCACCATGAATAAGGAAGCCGCAGATTATGTCAAAAAAGATGCGAACAATGCCAGAAATATGCACCTATGATACATCAAGCAGGCGAACATCTCAACTCTGTTACTTTGCCGTGGCCGTTCATCAAATGGGGAATGGACATCGTCGGACCCCTCCCAGCAGGTCGAGGTAAGATACGTTTCCTTTTAGTTTTAACTGACTATTTTTCCAAATGGGTAGAAGCAGGTGCATTCACCCAAATACGCGAATAGGAAGTCATTGCATTCATATGGAAGAATATCATATGCCGTTTCGGCATGCCTAAAGAAATCAGCTGTGACAATAGGCTCCAATTCACCGGGAGAAAGACCACCGCATTCTTTGAAAAATGGCACATTGAGAGAATACTCTCCACGCCATACCATCCCGCAGGCAACGGTCAGGCCGAATCCTCCAACAAGGCAATACTGAACATTTTAAACAAAAAGCTCGAGGACGCTAAAGGGTTATGGCCGGAGTTGCTACCAGAGGTACTATGGGCCTATCGCACTACGCCAAAAACAAGCACAGGCGAAACACCATATTCACTAGTATATGGGACTGACGCCATGATACCTGTTGAGGTCAGAGAGCCCAGCCTAAGGTACTCCAATGAAAGTGGACGGAACAATGACGAGAACAGAAGACAAGACCTCCACGAGGTAGAAGAACGAAGAGACATGGCTTATGTAAGAATGGTAGCCCAAAAACAGCAGGCAGAAAGGTACTACAACAAAAATGTCAAAGTACGACCACTCAAAGTCGGAGACTATGTTCTCAAAGCCAAAACACTGGCAAACAAAGATCCGAAGGAAGGAAAATTAGGAACCAATTGGGATGGGCCATACAAAATCACTGCAGCAACAAGCAAAGGAGCATTCCAACTAGAGACAATGGAAGGAAAACCACTACCAAACAATTGGAATGTCTCTCACCTCTAATATTTAAACTTCTGAAAAAGGACGCCCCCCAAAATCGTACTCTGTTTCCTCGCCCGGGTTTTGTCCCAGTTGGGTTTTCTCGGGTAGGTTTTAACGAGGCGATGAAGGGGATGTCTCGAAGTTTAAAGTATAATTCATCACCCCGCTTGCCGATTGTCTCTCCAGGCCGAACGATGAAGGGACTAGATACACGGAAACTTCTCCAATATATGTATGAAATGAACATGTATAGTATTCTCCAGTGAATGAAATAAAGCAACATTTTGTACTCTCCGCCAAGATATTCTCCAATGAGTGAAATAAAGCAACATTTTATTCTCCATCAGTAAAAATTTGACTTCACTCGAATTACAATGGGTTAACATTTTGACCTTAACTCGGAATAATACCCCTACGGCCAAAAGTCGTCGCCAAAAGAAAAATTCGACTTGCTCAAATTACAACGGGTTAACATTTTGACCTTAACTCGAAATAACACCCCTATGGCCAAAAGCCGTCGCCAAAAGAAAAATTCGACTTCTTTTGAATTACAACGGGTTAACATTTCGACCTTAACTCAAAATAACACCCCTACGGCCAAAGGCCATCGCCAAAAGAAAAACTCGACCTTGCTCGAATCATTTAAATTCGACCCTGCTCGAGTTACTAAGATCTACAATCAACCACGCCAAAATGGTACACGAGGGGCCGAAAAGCCAGGGACCTACCCAATGCAAACAAGAATAACTATTCGAAGGTAAACAGCAAAAAGATAGTCTATCCATTACAACTTTTATATTACAAAAGTTTTGTACAAAGGGCTCGAAGACGCCCTCACAAAAAAAGCAAAGCGAAAACAAAATAAATACAATAGCCCTACGCCGCGTCATCTCCCGCAGCATACTCCTCGTTATACCAAGAATAGGAGGCGAGCTTGTCCGCATCATCATCATCAACATCGTCTCCGCCAGGCGTACCAGGATCATAGCCGCAGGCCTCACGAGCTGCACGTGCTTTAACACGTACACCTCGAGTTCTGCCTCGCAAAACCTTCCCGTCAGCTTGCAGGGACTTGTATACATCTAGCTGAGCCTCGGCATGGACCCACATCTCATACAACTTCCGCGGCACGACGGGATCAGCTGAGGTATGAGATGCGGAGGGTTGCGACTGCCGTCGCACTTCCTCTGCCTTCAAAGCAACAACCTAATCGTTCAACACAGACAACTCCGCCTCCAGATCTTGGATCCATTTTCTAATCTCGCAACCTTGAGCGCTGACGTCTCCACCTCATTATCCCACTCAGACCTACAAACACGGCGGGCATCTTCCATGGCTGCTATTTCAGATATGGCAGTCACCCTGCCCTTTTTAGCATGAGCCAAGTCATCAGCTTTAGTGCTCAATTTACCCCTCAAGTCGACAGCCTCCGCCTCTCTTTGCCCAAGTTCGGCAGCTAAGGCGGCCACCCGAGCCTGAAGGTCGGCGTTCTCGGCCGTTATCCCCTTGCTCACTTCAAGCTCATCATCCTTGGCCTTAAGGGCCGCCTCAAGCTTGCTACATCGACCAATGGCCCTCATCAGCTCGTCGTCCCACTCTTTCAGCTCCTCAACCTTCTGTGCCAACTCTTCCTGTTTTTGCTTAAGCCCATCGCAAAACAGCTGAAAATTGCTATCTTGAGTGAAGACATCGGCCAATGCATGGTGCTTGGTGCGGTACTCTTTGTACTTAGAGGCCACCTTCCCAAAGACGGCCATCCTCCGTTCATCCCTCTGATCGCGCTTAATCTCCATGATGAGAGTCTGATATGCAAAGGAAAGAAAGTCGACTTAAGTAGATTACGCATACAAAACAAACCCAAAAAAGGGGAGAGTGAGAACACTTACCCACAAAGCCATGCCGGAAATACTCCGCGATAATTCCGCGTCACTCATCGCCTGAAGCACCGTGTTCTCGGAAGCAGCACACAGAGGGGCAAATGCTGACACTGCCTGCTCAGAGTTCGCCAAAAGATCGTAATCCATGGGAATGATTACGTGTCGGTTAGGACCCTCCGTCCTTACTTCCATGCGGGTATTTCTCTCCAAGAAGGCCCCGCACATCTTCAGGATAGATGTCCGAACCTGAACCATCATCCTCAACAAAAACCGCTCCACCCCCTCCGGAAGCAGACGACGCGCCACCTTAAGCAAATCGTACAGATCCCCCTCCTTGGAAATCCAGTAGGATCCGACACCAAGTGCTCCGTTTTGATGAAAAAATACTTATGCCAAAACTTTCGGCTCGCCCTGTCATCCATTCAAACCACCAACCTCCTGGTCCCGCGATGCCGCAAATGTATCATGGTACCTCTATGAAAGCTCGGGGAAAATAAATGTAAAAGGTGGCGGATGTCAACCTCACACCCAGCCAACTCCGCATACTTCGTCAGCATCAGAAAGATTTTATATGAGTGCGGAGACAGCTGTGCCAGACAGACTTCGTAAAATCGACAGAACTTCTCCGCCAGCGGAAGAAGAGGGAGGGTGTGACCAATCACGAAAGGATACACATAAAAAGCACAATACCCAGGTTTGTGGACCTCTATGATGCCCCCCCCCCAGTTGGAACCATCTCGACGTGAGGAGGAATGTGGTATGTAGACCGGAGTTAGTCTATCTGAGATGGCCCGGTTTCAGAAATCACCGGAACGGGAGAAGGTGCGGGTTTCTTATGAAAATCGCTCCTGGACGAAGGGTTTCTGGGGAGTATCTCCTCCATGTTAGGGAAACTATCACCTTCCTCAGCCGCGATATCCTCACCACCGGAAGGAGGGGCCACTGACAACGGAGTGGCGTTAGAAACTTCATCGAGTGCACGAAAGATTTGAGACATCTCGATAATAGAGGGTGTGCTAGTAAACCTGAAGGGAGAGACAAATGACTAAACAGGAAGATGGTAAGCAGAATCGCAGAAATGGAGCTAAGAACTGAGAAAGATGATCAAAGGAGAATAATGTACACACAAGGAAGGAGATGGCAAAAATTCCCGAAAAAAAGAAACCCTCACCTATTTATAGGGATGGGTGGCGCGAGAATCGAAGCAGAGGACTGTCAATGGCGTTAAAACCAAAGCGACAAGCACACAGACGCTGTCTCGGGAAGATGCGTAATGATGAAGCGCGTGGTGGTGACGTCACATTTTGATAATCACACCAATCAGGGTTCCACAAGCTGTGTCATTCTCTCGATGTTAGTCAACCCGGCGTAATCTAATAGCCAAATTCTCCCACAACGGAAACGATTAATGTCCGCTTACCGAGGACGTGCGGGGCTATGACCTCGACAAGCGGAGGGACTAACTGTATAGGTCCAAATTTGGTAACCACGATAACGGATAAGCAAAACATAGGACGGGGTTGACCACGACACAAAGACTGACGGCCGTCCAAATAAAGGCAGACGACTAGAAGCCGGCAGCTGATATAGGATAGTAACGGTAACTTAAACTCAAAAATAGACAGGAAGAATATTCCTTTGGATATTCTTTACGTTGTACTTTTTAGGTTTTTTTTGCGGAATGTCCCTTATAAATAGGAGGAGATGGGGAACAAATGGAAATTTGCTCTTTTTGAGAAATGAGACATATTGTAAAGTTGAGAGAAGAATATACGAAACAGTTGTCTTATTCTATTTATTCAAGCACATGTTGTTCAGTCTTTATCCACAAATCTCAAGATCCAATAACCCAGATTGATTACTTACCTTTCCACGTCGTCAGAGAAAGGAAACGCCCAATCGCACAATCATTGGGTGACGATTCCTTTACACTAACCCTTATCATTCTCGCATTTATTGTACATTTGTGATATTATATGTCTTGCCAATCATAGCATATTAAATTCGCTATTTAATGTTCCTAACCCCAATTCGTCATACAAGAACATTGTTTTGTTTGGTCTATGATTTATTAAGTTCAACTGAGATTCACCCTATTAATTTATTCTTGATTGGTTTAGTAATTATTTGCTAAAACAAGTCGGAGCTAGGATTTCAACTCTATGGGTTCTGAATTTGTGAACGACGACTTCAAGTGTTAGTAAATGATTTCTAAATTCAATGTTTATACATATTTAGTACATTTCTTAAAACAAAT